ATTTCCCAGCTGCACAAAACTGCCCTGACAGGTCCAGCCTAAAGCTCAACTCCCCCTTCTTGCACGGTGGGAATGGTGCTGAAGCCTCACCTGGGGCTGTGTCCCCTCCCCAGCTGCCTTTGGCTGCTCCAAAGTCCTGGGGCAGGGACAGCTGGGGACATTTTCAGCTGCTCCCCTGCCACAATGCAGGGTGGGCAGAGGACAGGAGCTGCTGGCCCTGCCCAAGCAGACTTGGCCTGAGCACTGCCTGCAGGAGCTGAGCCAGGCCCAGGCCTGCCTTTGCTGTGACCAAGGCCATCAAGTGCCAGCTCTGTGTGCAGCAGCCCCAGCTGGCTGCTGCTCCCACCCCTGGGTGTCCAGCAGCAGCAATCACAGAGCCAGCAGTGCTCCCCATCCCACAATCACAAAAAATGGAGTGGGAGGGGTGGTTTGTCCTGCACTGTCTGTTCACAGCAGCCTGTGAACCACCAGGGACCCTGGGCAGAGCCTGCTGGGCCCTTTCCCTGTCACTGCCACTGTCACTGCTTCACTTGAATAACTCCATCCTCTAAAAGATGGATGGGCACCTTCCTGCACCCTGAAATGAGCCTGTAATGAGGAGCTTTGCATGCAGAAGGAATCCCCCAGCTGCAGAAACATCCCCAGCACACCCAAGAGGTTTACATGTACACAGAGGGATGTGTGAGTGTGTGTGTGTGTGCAGGACTCCACCCCTGCTCCCATGGAGATGCAGTTATTTTATGTAAGAGTATTTTTTATAATGGATATTGCTTATTCCACCTCTGTATGATTGCACTGTAACAGGTCTGGTCCCTGTGATGCTTCCAAGGCTGGAAATTCTTGTGTATTTTGCCCAGCACGGTGAAAAACAAACCACACAGAAGTAACAGTCATAAATATACAACTTTAAAAAAAATTACTGTTAAAGATTTATTGCAATAATACAATAAAATTTAGAAGAAAAAAAAAACCAACAAAAAAACCCCAAAAAAACCAAACCATTTGTGTTGAGTTACATCTTAAGTCTGGAAGTTGTGAGAGGGGGGCTGTGAGTTTCCCCAGGTGACAAAGCCACCCTGGGTGTCCCACCCTGACCCTGCACAGGCACCTGATTTTCAGCCCAGGGCTGGGCCCTGCAATCAGGCTCCTCCTTGGCAGCCCAAATTGGCCACCCCAGGTCACTGATCACCACCAGAAGTCCTGGCCAGAACTGAAATTCCCGTGTTCATGCTACACAAAAAGTTTTGTAAACTCTCAGCTGGCTGCCTTCAAATATTTATAACTATGGATATTCCTGCCCTCCCTCCCTCCCTCACCCCCCCAAATAACCTGGGAAACGAATCCTGGTGATTGCACTCAAGGTTTGGACACACACAATTCTTCCTCAGCTACACATGTGCAAAACACTTTTTAAAAAAACCACCACAACCTTGTGTTCTGTTACAAAAAAAGGTTCCATGAAAAGCCCCACCCCAACACATTTGAACACCCCCACGGTGCCCTTGTGCACTCTCAGAGTATGACACGGTTGCAAATAAATAATTTTGGAAAACATGGATAGGAAGAATATGGCTTAGAAAAGTTCTTGTGTTGGATTTTCTTTCCCTAAGTTCAGTGACAGTGCATGAAGCTGAGTCATGGCCTGACCTTGCGGGGCTCGAAGCACAAAGGCAGCAATGAAAAAGGGACTGAAATGCCTATTAAAAAACAACAACAAAAAGGTATTTAGATGGTGGGGTCCAGTGCAAAATCCACGGGGAAGCAAAGGGGCTGGGCTGTGAGCCCAGTTTGCAATACTGGCGTGTGCTGGTTGCTCAGAGCTGTGAGTGCTAAAGTGCTGAGAGCCAGGAGAGCCCAGCCTGGGGCACGGCCCCCATCAGCTGCAGCAGCCCAGGGGCCTGGTAGAACTGGGCTGTTCTCCCACAACAAACCCAACTCTGGGAGCAGAGCAGCGGCAGGAGAGGCTGGCGTTGTCTGACAACGTGGGGAGTTAAGGGTCTTTGGTTTAAAAAAAAAAAAAAAGAGAAAAAGAAAAATGAGAGGAAACCACTGACAAAGGATGGCCAGCTCAGGGCTAAAGAGAAGCAGCTGCCGTGGAAGGGTGGGTGGCACATGGGTGTCACTGTCACCCCCCCTGCGTGGGGACAGGGGCAGCACTGGCCAGCCTGGAGAGGGAGAGAGAAATCCAGCACAAACGCCCTGTGAGGTGCTGGGAGAGCCAGCCCTGGAGCTGGGAGCAGGCAGGATGTGGCCTCTGTCACCACGCTGTGTCCCCAGGAGCTGAGGGGCAGGGCCAGGAACCCTCAGGAGGCTCCTCCTTGGCTGGCCCTGTGCAGGAACTGTCCCAGCCCTAAATGTAAACGTTGGAAGCTCTGCTGAGCAAACCACCCGAGGGGGTCCCATCCTGCAGGGCAGAGGAGGAGGAGCAGGAGGAGCCCTTGCTCACCAAGTCAGCACCCACCTCCTGGCGTTCCAGGAGCCAGCTGTGCCAGGGGAACCAAACCAACTTCTTGGCAGTCAGTAAACAACAAACCCCACCACGAACACACAATAAAATAGGCTTACAAACACATGTAGTGTGGAGAGCACGTGACTTCACCAAACTGGCTTGAAATGGGGTTTTTCTAATGCTAAAAAGTGGCAGCATGGTGTGGTAACCGATGGATATTATTGCAGCAATGCAATTCTGGATCAGCATCCAATGTGGGTCTAGCAAGAGAATGTCCAGTGTTTCTTTGGTGTATGGTATTAAGAGTACAGAGCCTGTGTGCCTCAGCACAACACAAAACTTCTACGCTGACCAGTGGAAACAGCATGAAATAAGCCAGTTTTCTATGGCAAAACTGGGTAAAGATTCACAACCAAATCTAAACCAAGAGCAACTTGCTGTGTGAATTCCCTGTCCATGCTGATCATTTGTATTAAAAATATGGCAACAGAGATTAGAAAACATGTTAAAAATGCATAATTTTCATGTCCTGAATGAAAAAAATCTAGAAATACGCATTTTTGCATTATGCAAGACAGATTTAAAACACACACACACAAAGGAAAACCCTGTAAGGAGTTAAGAAAGTGGGAACTGCTGTCCAGACCGCGCCCTGAGCAGCCTTCCTGATCCAAACACTCCAAAATCTGATTCTTCTTCAGAAAGTAGAGCTGGAGGTCGCTGGGTCCTTTGCCAATCCTCGCTGCAGACAGAACCAAGACACCAAGTGCCCTGGCAGGATCCGTGGGCAGCACGGAGCTCATTTACAAAACGGGGCCCTCACAGTCGTCTTGGGGAAATAAAAAGGTTTTCTCCGGTTTACAAAACAGAAGTCTGACCTTTCCTTTGTTCCAGGCACTACTTAACTGAATAGGTAAAGGTTGGTTAGAGCCCAGTCAGGGAGGGGTTGCTGGCACAGCCCC